ATTCACAAGTGTTACGATCAATAAAGGTGTTTTTTTAATACTTCAACCAAGAACAGGAAAAAGTTACTTCTCTGAACTTTGACCCAATCTGGTGACGATTTGGGGTGGTTAGCTACGATTACGACCTTGCATGCTGTGACACCACGACTCGATCGACTGAGCGAGACATGTTGCTATGTGCTGTAGATTTATTAAATTATGAATTGCAATGTGTGATAAAAAATTGTTAGTTTTATGAAAAGACTGATGATCAGGTGAGAATATAGCCTATATTTTTTGTACAATTGGTTGATCAGCCCTGCCTAGGCTAGAGCCCACTACTAGTACTAGCTAGGGTTCTAGCCTAGGCCTAGGCCTATTCCTCCTAGCTAGGCCTAGTAGGTCCTAGAATATTCAGGCCTAGGCCCTCAGATTGGGCTAGCTTAGGCTTGTTGGGCCTAGCTAGTAGACCCAGGCCTGGCCAAAAAGCGAGGTTTGGGCAGTCTTAATGTATAACCTAATACAAAGATTTCTTTTTGACCTAGGCCTAGGACTACGGGAGTACGGCTAGGTCCTAGGCCTATACATATACATACACTATGCCTATGTGTGTGTGTAGTAGGGCAGGCCTCCATAGGGCCTAGGCCTAGAAGTAGGCCAAGCGAATTACAGACGATTGGGCACACGAGACGATCAGGCCCAGACGATCGGGCCCATTTTTGGACGATCGGGCCTACCAATGACAATGTAGACCATTTTCTAAAACGGCGGGTAGACGTTTGGGCCCATTTTGACGGGGCGCGACCGAAATTGACCTAGGCAAGCCAAAATGGTTTTGGAAAGTTTCGATTTTGTCAGCAGACGATCGGGCCCAATATTCAGTTTTCCCTAAAGACGATCAGGCCCACGAGACAATCAGGCCCAGGACGATCAGGCCCGTTTTTGGACGATCGGGCCCACTTTTTAAAACCGAAAAATGGGCCCGATCGTCGAAAAACGGGCCCGATCGTCCTGGGCCCGATCGTCTGTCACCCGGCCAAGCTGGCCTTGGCCTGTCAGAGTTTACCAAACTACTATTAGGCTAGACTATTAACCTTAGCTAGCCTAGGGCCAAGGCCTATGTACCAGGGTTGCCAGATAGTCGATAGACTTCATGGCCAAATTCGGCCAAACTTTTTTTCGATATCAGCCAAAATTCGGCCAGATTGTAATCGGATTAGTAGGTAAGTAAAATTACATGCTAATCAGCAATCATTTGTTTAAAATTGAAGAATTAAACCTCTGAAGCATTTTGGGCAATCAAATTTCTTTTTCTTTCATTGTTTTTTTCCCTTTTTTTAACTTTCCAAAAGTGAGGCCTGTCCCCTTAAATCCACCCCTGGCACATATTATGGAACAGATGTCCCTGGGGAGAATTCCATAATGTTGCAACTATAATCAGCGCATTTTGTGTTTGAACCTACCAGGAACCCACTTGTGGATAGAAAGAGCCGACATCCGTAGGAAAGTGCCTTAACTACTGTATGTCACAAGCAAATACACAGCGAGGGATCATCATTTAAAAATACCACTTCATCTGAACAATTTACAGTAAATCATTAAATGTAACTGCTAATCTTTAAAATAAAACACTCTTTGTTACGTCAACTTGGCCAAAGGGTAACATGAATTAAGTTTTTGTACAAGTACGACTAACGTTCTTGAATGCAAACAAGGTACACTACATTAGATTACAATCAAATAGGCATATAGGTTCCTAGAATTTATATTGGAAAAAAAATGTAAACTTTTCACAAATTCGGCCAAATGAAGTTTTGCTGTGAGTTTTCAAATGTTACGGCCAGGCGAATTTTTATACAGCCAGATTTGAGGAATCTGGCCGTCAAAATGGCTATGGCAACCCTGAGACCTACTATTTATGTTCTGCACAATTTTGAGATGTTTGCGCAATTTTCAAATTGTGCAAGCTCTTCCTTGCACGGTTATTTTTTTTTTTTTTGTGGGTCTTATTTTTGGAGGGTCTTATTTTTTTTAAACAAGTGTTGAGAAAAAAACTTAAAAGCATTATGTTGACTTACATTGTTGAGGTATTTGGCAACTTATCAAACAATTGATGTAATATAATAAATATAATTTCTTTAATAATTTTTGCTGCTAGGTCTGGCCTAGGGATAGCCTGAAATTGCGGCCCAGCAGCAGGCTATGGTGAGGTCAAGCTTATGCTAGGCTCGATAAAACTATTAGACTAATTCCTATTAGTATATTTCTATCTATTTATTAGTGTGAATCCTTAATAAATGCAATTCTTTATTTTTTTCAATTGTAGCTACCGACTGTGTCCCACACACACACCTGACTTTTCTTTTATCATTGAAAATGTTCTGATGGCTTGAAACATCGAAATTCTGTTGAATTATAATCTAATACTGTAATAGGTTAATATCAACATCAGGAAATAAATTTAAATGTCACATTTTATGATAATTGCTGAAAGAAACCTTGCGCTGTTTGCATACTGCGCACACAGTTTGAAACAACTTTGCAATAACAACAGGAACTCAAAATGAGCAAAAGGAACAAATTGCGCACTCTTATTATTGTTCCTAATCTATAGACCAAGGTGTACATGCAATTATCCATGTGGGTCTATAGAAAGCCTAAGTCTGAGACCATGTAGACATTTTAGTTTTTTACATTGATATTGTATATTTTTTTTTTTGTATGTTAAAAAATTATAAATTTCAATTTTGTTAGTGCTTACTTTGCAGTGATATCACCATGAAGGTTGAATCAGGAGTTTCTAGCAAGGCCAACCAGCCTAACTTCATCTTATTCATCGTGGGCGTACTACTGGGTGCATGCATGATGGCTGTGTACAGTACATTTTTCCATAGACAGTTCAATTCCACCGGTAACCATATGAAATTTTGGGGACAACCCTACTCGGAACATGTTAATTCACTGCAACAAGTTAATATATCTGATCCCCAAGGTCATATTGAAGTAAATGCGGAAAATAGAATTGAACCTCATGAAAGGTTAAAGTTCAAACAACACCATGATCTTCATTACAAAGGTAAATATCAGTGATTTTATTAAACAAATAATCATTACTTAGCTAAGCTTATCCCATGTACCGTAAGTAACTGTATTCACTGGTGGAGTGTATACAGTTATTTGTGTGGTTTTCTTGACCAAGGCATTCCAATACATCCTACTAGATTCGCATCATCTGCAGTACACATTCTACTGTCCCACGTCATTCTAATACCCCATTCAGACTAGCATCGCATTGCGATCGGTTGTAGCAATTGCGACACCCAATCGCACCCAATCGCAAAGTAAAATCGTGTCTGAAAGCTCACCAATAGTAGTCGATATGTAATCGCTATCACAATTGTTACCCGTTGCGATTGGGTGCTACAATCTTTATTACTCCCGATTACCACGGAATCCGATCGCAACGAATCACAACGAATTCCACAGGCACTGTTTGGCTAAGGTCAGTCAACATGGGCCTAGCCACCGGAGGTCTAGGCCCTAGAATGTAAAATTAGTTTGTGTTGGTCTGAATGCGTTCGTTGATTGCGATCGGGAGTAATCAGTTTTGGATTACCACCGATTACATCGCAACCGATCGCAATAGAGTGTAGTCTGAATAGGGTATAAGAGCATTGGAAGTTTTTCTTTTCCTTGTCATGCTGCCAAACTCTGGAATAATCTCCCAACTGAACTTTGAGACATTTCTGATCCCAATACAGTATTTTTATATGGGCACCTAAGACTCACTTATTTGCATAGCTCTTCTATTATTATTTTTTTTTTATGTGGTGTCAGTTGTGTGTTTTGCTTTTAATTGTTTCAACAATACAATTGTGGCGCTTGTGATTTCTGTTAATTGACCTGTTTTACATTCTGCCTTAAGCATTTCTCTGAGCTTGGAGATTTGGCGTGCGCTTTATAACCGAAAGGAAAAGGCACAATATAAACGCTCGTACCAGTACCAGGTGTCTTCATACTAAGTTTATTAACTTGTAATTTGAAGTGTAGTTGTAGGTGTTAAAAAGAACAAATGTTGCCTAATAAGAAAAATTCAATGAATAATAACTTGGCCTGGTAGCTTTTTTGGTAGAGCAATCAGACAGTATTTGGAGGGTATTGGGTTTGAATTCTGATGGGAGAATGCATATTCATTAAAAAAAAAAAAAAAGACATCACAGTAATAGTTTGTTTTGAACATTTTATTTTAGTTACATTTCTCTAAGCAGTAACAATTTTTAACTTCAAAATACATCAAATACATTTACACATACTTTCAAGGGTTAGCCAATAAAGCCTTTTATACAAACTGTTTTATATTGGGCCCTTTATTTACACATAAAATGTTCTTAAACGTTCATAAATGTTTTACTTTTTTTCAGATGAAGATCAAGTTGCCAAGGAATTATATAATAAAGTTCGCATTCTTTGCTGGATTATGACCTCACCCCAAACACTAGAATCAAAGGCTTCAAATGTTAAAGAGACATGGGCAAAACGATGCAATGTCGCACTCTTCATTAGCTCAGAACACAATGCAGACTTTCCCACAGTCAAAATAGAAACAAAAGAGGGACGCGAGTACTTATGGCAGAAAACAAGAGGAGCATTTCAATACATATATGACAATTATTTAGATGAAGCTGATTGGTTCTTGAAGGGAGATGATGATACATTTATAATAGTGGAGAATTTAAGGTATTTTCTTTCAGATAAAAACACCAATGACCCGTTATATTATGGACGTAAATTTAAACCATACGTAAACCAGGGTTATATGAGCGGTGGTGCAGGTTATGTTTTGAGTAAGGAAGCTGTCAGGAGACTTGTGGAAGATGCTTTTAAGAGTTCCTCTAAATGTCGTCCGGCTACAGCTGTTGGTGGTGCAGAGGATGTTGATATTGGTCGATGCCTTCAAGCAGTAGGAGTCGTTGCTGGTGATTCCAGAGATGAACTGGGTCAGGATCGATTTCATCCATTTGTTCCGGAGCACCATCTCATCCCTGGATCTGTCCAGAAAGGTTTCTGGTACTGGAAATACATTTTCTATCCGTCTACAGAGGTAAAACAGGTTGCAGTCACCTTTACTCTGTTAATGAGCTGTACAATAACATGCTGTGGTATTTTATATTGGCTCATATCAACAATTTATTCCTTCTTCTATGCAGGTGCACATAATATACCAAAGAATATAGTATGTGAGCATACAGTGTGTGAGCATAGAGTATGTTGGCATACATTATGTTAGCATACAGTGTGTGTTAGCATACAGTATGTGAGCATACAGTGTGTTAGCATACAGGAAACGGTGTGTTAGCGTACGTTGTGTTACTGTAGATTACGGTGTGTTGGCATACAGTGTGTGTTAGCATATGGTATGTGAGTATACAGTGTGTTAGCATACAGGAATTGCGCATACAGTATACCTTCTTTGTGACCATTATGTATGTGTACAGTGTGTGGGCATACGGTGTGTTAGCGTACGGTGTGTTACTGTAGCATACGGTGTGTTAGCATACAGTGTGTGTTAGCATATGGTATGTGAGCATACAGTGTGTTAGCATATAGGAATTGCGCATACAGTATACCTTCTTTTTGACCATTATGTATGTTAGCATACAGTGTGTTGGCATACAGTGCGTGTTAGCATACGGTATGTGAGTATACAGTGTGTTAGCATACAGGAATTGCGTATACAGTATACCTTCTTTGTGACCATTATGTATGTGTACAGTGTGTGGGCATACGGTGTGTCAGCATACGGTGTGTTGGCATACGGTGTGTTGGCATACGGTGTGTTGGCATACGGTGTGTTAGCATACATTATTTTAGCATACAGTATGTGAGCATGCAATATGTTAGCATTCAGTGTGCTAGCATACTGTATGCCTTCTGTGTAACCATTATGTATGTGAACAGTATGTGGGCATACATTATATGGGTATACAGAATGTAAAGCAATGCATAACTGTATGTTGGCATACATTAATGATGTGCATACTTTATATACATACAATGCTAGATTTTTAGCTCTAAACTTTTGTTCTATTATTGTTAAGTATTTTTTATTGTTGGTGGTAACCTGGTTTGCAATGAGTAATCAATTCAAAAATGGAATTCTTTACTTCCAGGGACTTGATTGCTGCTCGGACTACAGTATATCATTCCATTACATCAGTCCACAGAGTATGTACCTGATGGAGTACTTAGTGTACCATATGAAACCATTTGGAGTTGGTTACTACACCTGTCCAGCTCAACAGAAGGGCTCGGCCACATCATAAAATGATTGAAGGCTAAGTAGGGCCCACCTGATGAAATACCAAGTCTACATACCAGTAAGTGCGTGCCTGGTGGAATGACTGTACCTGCGTAACATACATGGTTGTAGCTGTAGAAAACTAAGGGTTGGTGATAGACATTTTAATGGGGGGTTATGTGATAACAACACACTCTAAATGATAAGAGTGGAATTTAAGGATGAAAAAGTGGGTTAAAAAGGGTTGGTAGAGGGCCATGAAATTAGCTTTAGACTGGGTAGAACACTCCAAGTCCCACCATAACTACATTTTTGAACATATGAAACAATTTGTGTTTTTCCTGCTTAGATCAATATTAATCTATAAAATACATAACAAATTCCATTAAAGAAATTTTAGTCGCTCATTTAAAATCAAAGAGACATGAACGTTGATTTAGATTGTCTTTTTTATAAACTCTTTGTCATGATGATGCTTACGGAGTTGTTTTTAGTTGTGAGAAATATACCTGCTTTACAGAAATTGAACCTTGGGATTGGAAGGTAAGTATGTTACCGTACTACCAAGCTAATCGCCTCCACTATAAAAAGAAGTTAGTGCGGTAACTAAATTCAATTCTACCTTTGTAATGATTTCAAAGCCCCTTTCTCACAGGCCGAGGTTGGTGAATCTTCGGGTAATGGTCAATGTCCGTGTTGATAAGCATTAATATTGTTGTGACCCGTTACGTAGCCCTTGATGCGTTCTGCGCAGTTGCTGCGCCAGCGTCTGAAATCTGGTGGAGGGTGAGGCAGCAAGTGAGGGAAAAGGTAAAATTTTAGAGGGGCAATATGCTGTGGTGGCCTGAAGTTTGTGTGGTCAAGCTTCGCTCAAAATGTTGTGGAAGTGGTCCAGGGGCCGAGAAACCCCCAAAAAATATGACAATTTAGGGGTTTCAGAGGCTTATTTAATCGATATTATAGATAGTCTACAAATATGTAGAAAATACATATCATTTTTTTCCTCCTGGACAAATTGTGGTTTTTCTTCTTTTTTGGGAGAGAGAAAACTAGGGGAGGGGGAAAGAAAATTATCTGGGGGAAAAATGTTTCTGCAGAAGTTGCAGATCTCAAGTTCTTACAGTCAGTAGACTGTCGGGGAAGTCTTCAAATGCCTGTAGAAAATCCATGGGAGAGTACATCAGTTGACGTTTCTGCTAAGCCCCTTCCTCTTGGGTATTGTTGCTAAGAACATTTGTGGGACAACACGTTTTGTGAGACACATGTATATTCCTGGCTCTGTTTTGATTGGTCAGTTGTTAAGTTGATTGACACTCTGAATATATTTATTATGTACTCTATTGTATTGAAAATTTGCTATATATCATTTGCTCCAGTTCAGTATGTTTGAGTGTTTTGACAGATGCTATTATTTTTAGCACTTCCTATCTCTCTGAACTGGCCTCTATAAGAAAATGCCATGACCTGCTTTTGAAAGCAATACACATTAATTGTTTTTTTGCATGGTTACCTTTACAATATATATTATATTTTTCTATTTCAATTTATATTAGTAGAGGGGTGAAGTTTGTATGTATTAAATACATATTTTACTATAAATGGCATTTTGCATGGAATGATTATGCAGGTGAAAAAATAAACAATTAAATAAGGTTGTTATTATTGATCATGTAATATCGGAAATAAAAGATATTCAATTGGAAGAATTGAAATTTAATAAAATAAATAATATATTTGCTAAATGGCTGTATTTTAAATTATTGCTATTATTTTTGCTGTTATTTTTTGTATTAAAATTAAGGTATTTAACCACTGTTACCAACAATGGTCATTTTTTTGCTAATTATACAGTAAATTTATAAAACTCATAATATGAGTGGTAATTTTATTGGTGCTATGAATTGTGACAAAATCATCAATACCATCATGTGTGAAACAGGTTTTTGTAATCTTGAAAACTCCGATGGGGGCAGTATAATAGAGGCATTAGAGCTAAAAAAGATCTATTAATCAATCAGCCAAGTGTTTCTAGAGCTCCTCAGGGCAGTATACTGTAATAGAGGCAGTACTGTAGATCTAAAAATGATCTATTAATCAACCAGCCTCATGGGAGCAGTATGAGGCAGTAGTACTGACAATGATGTATTAATTAATTAGTCAACTGTTTCCAGAGCTCCTCATCGGAGCTAAAAAAAAATATTATATTTTTTTTCATAATTATTTTTGTGTCCTTTCATGTTTTGAAATGTTACTTTACAGGATGCTAAATTACAATATTCCAATATTTGATAGACTTGATTCTTTTCCTCTAGTGTTCCAACTCCAGGGGAGATACTGTATGAAACTCCAGGTATGAGGATTTATTTTACCTAGTATTGTGTTATCAGTACAATACTAGGTAAATTCTGCGGCAAACACCAACAATACATGTGTGTAATTTAATGTATCAACATTATTGACAGAAACAATAAACAATATTTTATATAAAGGTTTTCGAATTTTGAGTTTTATTCTTAATGTAAGAATTATGCATTCATAATTCATTCTAATTATCATCATCATAATTTTAAATTGAAAAATATTTTAATTGTTTTCATTATGCCTAATGTCATGTTAAAAAAATGTACTTTTTTAATTAATCTTTTAAGTAAATATTTGTGGATTTTGTATCCCTCACTGTTATTATATACGGAAATCATTCAGCCATGTCTGATTTAACTTGAATAAATAGAAATTAAATTTTATATTAAAAATACAGTAGAACACCTATTAAGGAAACGCCTTCGGCACCAAAGAAGTGTGCCCTAATAGGAGTGTCCCAAAGGAGGGTTCTACTTTATAAAATAAAAATTAAATATCGATCTGGCACTACCAATCCTGATGGATTTTTAACCAATTTTAAGACATCGGGCTTTAATATGCAGATAATTGTGTATGGCACAGAAACACAACACATTACTCCTTGGATAAAGCTTCCAGCTTTTTGTTCTTGTGTTAAAATTAACTTTTAATCATGACGTGTCTGCCGCCATCTATCGGAATTCTCACGCCAGTGATGAATGACGAATCTTCCGAGATGAGGAATGCTATTGCTTTTGTAACTTCAGCCATTTCTCCATGTCTGCCGAGCGCATGTGTATTCTTACATGACTCCTTCACCTAAAGAATAGTTTACAGTAAATAAAAAACAAAAAACAATATCTTTTTATTAATTTGTTGGAAACTGAAATTTACTCATTATAACAATTTAATTTTTAGTTCCTATGCATGTAATGCAATAGGAACTATTGTATTCACTTTTTTTGCGTGTGTGGGTGTGGGTGTGTGTAGACATCTTCAGGAAAAGTTTTCCTACATTTTGTTTTAATGGCAGTCACATGCCTAATGGTACCCTTGGTATTAGTTTTCTAACTAGCCATCCATCACTTCATCCCCATTGCACTCAGTCTTGTCATACTGGCCCACATTGCCGTTGTGGAAATAACATACAGTACTAGTGTAAATAGTACTAACAGTATTAACATAACAAAGCGTTGTGTTTATCGATACTGCATTTAGGCCTAGTAAATAAAATTTTTGAAACAAAACCAAATATTGTTACTGTAATAGTAATTTTGTCTTGTACTGTATATATTTCTTTTACACAGACATTTGACCCAAACTGTTTACTTCGTAAGTTTAAGTTTTGTTGATCACTATTAAAGCATTTGTATTAAAACTGTGTACAAAAGGGGGGAGGGGGAGGAGAAAAGCAGCGCTCCCTGAATACGTCCCTGCGAAAGTTGAAAACAATCCATAGTGATAAAAGTATCACAGTTGATGTATTAATTAGGCCTATAGGCCAACATTTTCGCTACCGCAGCATAACACAGCAAACGGCCTACATATGTTTTAAAATTGAAATATTTCGTGTATTAAATTCAGTCATATAACTTCACTATTATTCTGCATAGGAACGTTGACGCCTGCTAAGGTGGTTTAATATATCGTTGTTTAGTAGGCCATGCCAGCCCCCCCCCACCCCCGATATCGTTTCAAACTACTGTAAAATGAAAATACTGTATGCTTACATAGGCCTACAAAATAATTAAAAAAATAAAAACTTTTTTTTTATGATTCTACTAACTTAATTTGCCTTTCAAATAACATAAACAATGTGGTCAAAAATCACTATTTTGGACCATAAAAACTCACTCCTCCTGAATTGTTCACGTTTTACACCACCACACAAATTTGACCCAACCTTATATTTTCTGATAAAGTATGTATCATGCATATGAACGTTGACTCCTGCAAGGATTGGTTATAAATTCTATTAGTAGTAATTGAAACATCGTGCATAGGTCCTTAAATGACATTTTGGTATGTTTTTACGAAATATTTAGGAATTACAGGCCTGTGGGTGCGAATTTGTGGAGAGTGGACCGAAGTGACTGGGAGCCGCAGATTCCTGATGGGGTCGAGCGGACGAAAACTACTGTAAAATGAAAATACTGTATGCTTACATAGGCCTACAAAATAATTAAAAAAATAAAAACTTTTTTTTTATGATTCTACTAACTTAATTTGCCTTTCAAATAACATAAACAATGTGGTCAAAAAACACTATTTTGGACCATAAAAACTCACTCCTCCTGAATTGTTCACGTTTTACACCACCACACAAATTTGACCCAACCTTATATTTTCTGATAAAGTATGTATTATGCATATGAACGTTGACTCCTGCAAGGCTTTGGTTATAAATTCTATTAGTAGTAATTGAAACACCGTGCATAGGTCCTTAAATGACATTTTGGTATGTTTTTACGAAATATTTAGGAATTACAGGCCTGTGGGTGCGAATTTGTGGAGAGTGGACCGAAGTGACTGGGAGCCGCAGATTCCTGATGGGGTCGAGCGGACGAAGCCCCTCGCGCTCTGACATATTTGATAATTTGAGGTCTTAATTGATTCTGAAGATGCAATATCACCTTTATTAAACGATTTGACAGATTCTGGAAAGGAGGGTGGGGGAGGGGGGCTAGGGAGGGATTTTCACAGATGGATGGTTAAAGAAAATTTATAATTATGGTACCCCTAGATGGCCGGAAATGACACTCTAAGACAAAGAATCGTAAATAGATTGAGGTCGAGTAAAATACATTCATACATATTGGACAACACATAGACTAGATGTTTAAAGCACAATGTAAATACAACATTGTTAGACTTAAACGTAAAAGAAATAATGTAGGCCTATCATACCGCCTAAATGAAAAAAGGCCATAATATTGGGCATTGGAAATAGTAAATTTACCACAGGGCCGTCGGAACCGCACTTTGGCCGAACTATACGTGGTCTTCCTCCATACCACCAATTAAAAATCCGTTTTGGGACCAGAGTTTTATAGTGGTCTTTAGCAGCTTCGGTCTCTAATTTGAATCCCTATAATGAAAGACCGGCTTTAAAAGTATATCTTTAAATATCTCTAGGGAAATTAAGAAGTGATATAGTATTGTCAGAACGGACGTAGGGCCTACCTTCCTGTATGCTGTTATTATATGCTTAATTATTAATGCTTAAACTATTTCCTGGTAGTCAAGTTACACATCAAGTCCTGTGCTCGTTCTACCTAACCATTACAATGTTACTAATAGTAAGCCTACCGTCACAGTCCTTCTTGTCAGTTTCCAGGAGACTCCATTCCGGGACTCTACGGGAGACTTATAACTCATGGGTACTCAATGTGGTCTTTAGATTTATATATTCAGATGGAAATTGAAATGTTTTAAAACGGCTGTACAGTAACTGCATGCTGTTATTATTCTTAATTAAACATTTCTTGATAGCCAGACATCCATTAAAATATTACTAACATTGCTACTAACATTATCGTTGTTCAATATACAAAACGCTGTACTCAAAACAGTGCATTGGCTAATATTTCTACGTGTAAGTCATATACAGTATAACACTATTTATTGTAGTAAAAATCACTGTTTATTTTATAGTGGTCTTTACTACTTGGAGGGGAAATTTTCAGTTGGATCTACCAAAACTATGGTCTCTAAATAGAGGAAATATTTAATTAGAGGGGGAACAGCTAATGATAAAAGAGAGCCATTCAACGGACGCCACAGGAATGGTTTCTTTCATTTTAATTGGAGGTGGTCTTTAATTGGAGGGAGAACTGTGTATTTATTTTAATGAATATACACTACTATATTATGTGGATTTATTATTAATGTTCGTATCACATCGTTATATATATATTTTTATCCACCATGAGCTTGTTTTTGTATTCCCGTGTACATTTCAACTTTATTGACAATCCTTAATTTTAATATTTAAGATTGATTTTGAAAATGTTCAGAGGTATATAATATAAAATAACAAATAACTATTATAAAATTTTGGCAAAGGTATAATGACCAAGCCGGCCCTGATTAGTCATACCTCCAATTAAAATTCAGACATTAATTTTTTTTTTAAATTATGCATGTGCTATTTCCCGGCTGAGGAGCCATTCTTTCAACCATAGTGAAAAAAGAAATGTGTTGCACCCCACCACCCACCCACACCCACTCTTAATAAAATGGCCGGACCACTTGCAAAACAGTGCTTCCGACGGCTATGTAGGCCTACAATAAAGGTAAATATTACGAATAAATGAAATTAATGCAAATTTCGAATACGAACGAATAATTACAAGCGCTTTACGTCGTGGTATTTGATGGGAGACGTCAAAAATATATCAAATCAGGAAAGTATAAAATAAGCCTATACTGATCTTATTGGAACAGGTAGGAAACACTGCAGGTAGGTGTGTAATCTTTGTGATGCGCTTGCACATTCGCAAATTGTGATCAGTGGCGGTTCAAGGGTGGGAGTCGATAACACCAGTGGCGGATCCAAGGGAGGTGGGGGGGGGGTTTCAAGTGGTTCGGACGAACCCCCCTCTGTGAAGAAACGTAACAAAATACAACTGGGTCCTGGCCTACAGAAGGCTTGCTCATACCTGTCAACCTTGAGAAATTTCAAAGAGTAAGATCGGGTGACACATAATG